ATGAGTATTAGCCTGCTATGTGGAGAATGTACCTTACCTGGGATCAGTCGAATGTATCTTCGTGGTTCAATCCAGATGTGTTTTTGCCAAGAGCACCACGAAACACAGGCGATACTGCACCCTTCTCAGTTCACCGTATCGGTGCGCACACTGTTGCTCCGTCTCTCTAATGGTGCTGCTGACTTTGGTCTCATGGCGAAGGTGGTATCTACCAGGCTTCTTCCCCACAGAGTTACTGTTTTCCCCTGAGGAATTAGTAAGCATCTTGTGGGGAGATACTCAAAGCAATATCAATATTTTGCCACTCATCATACCTTCACCCACTAATTTTAGCATCCACTGATGGTGGTTTGCAGCAATTACTGTGCTCTTTGCCAAATGATAACGTTTTTATTTTCCTTCATGCCTGTATTTTTATTGAATTCATTGGGGCAACATTGGTTAAGAAAATTATATAGGCTTCAGGTGTACAATTCTCTAACACATCATCTGTCTATTGTATTATGTGTTTGCCACCCCAGGTCAAGTCCCCTCCCATCACCATTTACCCCCCATTTACCCTCTCCTGCCTCCCCCACTCCCTTTCCCTCCGATAATCACCATATTGTTCTTTGTATCTGTGATGATTTTTTTTTGCTTAACCCCTTCACCTTTTTCACCCAGCCCACTCTCCTCTTCCCCCTCTTCTATCCCCTCCTCCTCCCCTCTGACAGCTGTCAGTCTGCTTTCTGCATCTGTGAGTCTTGTCTCTATTTCATTTGTAAGTTTCTTTTGTTCATTAGTTTGTTTTGTTCATTAGATTCCACATATAAGTGAAATTGGGTACTTGTCTTTTTATGACTTGGTTATTTCACTTAGCATAATATTCTCCAGGTCCATCTACTGCTTCCATGGTTGCAGAACACTTGGGTTGGTCTCTTCTCTCCCCCTGACCTTTAGGCTATCGACTCTCTCAACATCATAAGTGACAAAAAAAAAAAAAATCCTAATACTGTGACCCTGGTAGCCCCGATTGTTTTGAGCTTTGCAACTGTGGCCTTAAGATGAAAGAGCTTTCCTTTTTTTCCCGTTCCTCCCTTTCTCCACCCAAGCAATGCTTATGAGGAAGCTCTGGGTGCATTGTCTGCCGACGGTGCGCCATGCTGTTCTGTCATGTCCTGCGGCTTCAGGGCACCTTCCGCCTTTATCGACAGTCTTCCCCTGCATCTGTGCTGCCTCCTGGGCCGAAGATGTGCAGTGAATGGGGAGGCCACTTGCTAAATCTCAAACACACTGCCTGTCTTTAGACCCTGGAGCTGGGGCCGCTGGTATGTCCAAGCCTCGCACCCTTGGTTCAGTCTGATGGCCTCTGTGTCTCCATTTATCAGTCACGGATGAATGGTAGATTTTTGAATCATTTTGTTGTCCAACTGCAGCTTTATGGAGTCTCTTTTAGAAAGTGACTGTTAGATAATTTCTGCTGAGATGCTTTTGTTTGGTCATGAAATTATATTTTGGGGAGATCAGAAGCCTCTTTTTTGATTTTTTTATTTTATTTTTAAGGAAAGGAGTGTGTTCTACCAAGAACTGAAAGTTTAATGCCCAGAGACTTTTTAGACGTGGTCTGCAAATGCCTAACAAGCGCAGCAGGTAATATCGTGTGTAGCAGCGAAGCAACCAGAGGTTAAACGAGGGAGTGAGGCCGGGGGAGGGCACGTGCCCCATCTGAAACATTCAGAGTCAGTGTGGAACAATCAGGCTCAGTTCGAGTCAGGATTCCTCCCTTGGGACGTGGGATGTGGGATTCCTAGAATTTGGAACCGGACATTGTGGGGACGCACCATCTCAGTTTGCCAGGCGCTGGGGGTTTCTTGGAGTGGAGGGATTTCAGGGCTAAAACTGCAACATTGCTGGGCAAACCAGGTAACTGGTCCTGCACAGCATCGTGCATGGAAGCTTTGTCTTAAGGTGGACTAGTTAAATTAAAGCTTAAAAAAATGATGACTAAAGGATGTCACCTATAAAAACTGAAAGGGAGTGTGTTCCTCTCCCCTGTAAGGTTGCAATTTTCAGTGGGGAAAAATAGCAATACTTGCCATTGTATATTTTTTATAAGCAAAGCAGGACTTCAAACTATTTGAAGGATGACCTCTTTTGCAGAAATTAGAGGCACTGAATTTATTGCCAGCTAGTCATAGCTGCCCATCTGCTAATTCTCCTCACATAGAGGGAGCAGCTGTCATTTCAGAAATGCTACAGTGGATAACAAGATGGGGTGCGTTGTGTCTTCCAATGCTTAAAACAAACCCCTGGGAAGAGCAGCGGCAGTTCCTTTGGCTGCGTGCATGTCTGATATTACTGACATACAATGGCAAGTGGATTTGGAGTTTGGAAGCAAACGAATTCACTTTAATGAGAAAAGGACTCAAGGTAGGTATAGCACATATTATAATAATCTACAAGTCCACAGGCACACACTCTAAAAACCCTGGCCACACGTCAAGCCCTGAACGCAAGTACAAGCATCTGAGCTTCCCCAATCCTCACAGCCTCTGTGAACCTGAGGATTGCAAAGCAAGCACAATTTACCTCAAACTAACAGCTTCCTTAAGTCTCCTATTGGCCCATTTTCTCTCCAAATTCAACTTCTTAGGTACCCTTTGATTCCATCCTTCTGTTTGCACTGTTTAATGGCCCTAAATCCAGTCAACAGTTTATATTGGTTATTCCTTTGCCGTTTTTTAGATGATTTCTTTTCCCATTTTCTGGTTCCATCACTTCACTCTTAACTGTCCTCAAGTCAAGTGGCACTTAAAACTGAACACAGCCCCTCATCTGGGTTCCTAGTCAAGGCTTTTCTCCCTTTCAATCAACCAGCAGATAGCTCCATGGTTATTCTTCATAAGGAAAATAACCAGGGTGAAATACGGAACCAGTGAGTGTAGTCCAAGCAAAACTACGCTCTACTACTGAGCATTATGAATATGGGTGGAGACATGGCTACAGATACCGCTGGGTGCACCTGGGATACAGGTGTGGATGTGACATGGATGTGGACGCGGGCAGATGGAGGGCTGTGTAGGTATTTCTGCCTGGAGAGATTGAAAGTAACATTTCATTTGATCCTCGCAACGATCCTTGGAAGGCAGGTAAAGCAAACCTCTGTTTTTTCACCTATGAGAATATTAACTTTCAAAGCGTCTCCACAGCCCTGGCTGGGTAGCTCATTTGGTTGAAGCATCGTCCCATGCACCAAAAAGTTGTGGGTTTGATTCCCAGTCAGGGCTTTTACCTAGGTTGTGGGTTTGATCCCTGGTTGCGGTGTGTATGGGAGGCAACTGATCGATGTTTCTCATCACATCGATGTTTCTCTCTCTCTCCTTTCCTCTCTTTCCAAAATCTATAAACACATTCTCCAGTGAAGATTAAAAACAAAACAAACAAAGAAGAGTTCCCACATCCCATCCCTAATGACAGCTGAGTTGGGACTAGATCTTTTAACAAAACTCGGGCTTATTCTGATCGCAGCACAAGACTTCATTTTTTATTTTGGGAACTTGAGACCCGGGATGGTATTTCTGCCATGTGGACACTGCCCTGACCTTGTCCGGCAGGGAGCGCAGGGGGAGAAGAGGTCAGCAGGGGCGGCGTGGAGCGGCCAGCCCCAGGCCCATGTAATGCCGGCGTTCTCTTTGACGCCAGTGCATGCTTTGAAGGGACCTCAACTGATTTCATCACTTCCAATGTTACAAAGAAAAACGCGTGCCCAGTTTTGGTGCAAATCCAGACGAAGGCAAGGAGAAACAGAGCATTTCAAAGAGCCGGGAGATGTTTGGAGGTTGTGCCTGCAAGTACCTGGATTTGGGAGAAGAATTTGTTGAAACTCAGCAGTTACGCTCAGGAGCAGGCCTGGGACGCCTGTGTCTCGCTGCGCCTGTCTGCATTCAAGGTCTGCGTCGAATTTTACCTGCGTCCCTAGGCTCCAAGCAGAACAGATACACTGTTTCTAGATGTCACTGCTATTAAAAGGAGGAAGAGGGGGGTAAAGCAAGAAAAGAACAGGAAAAGAAGTCAGAGAGGAAGATGCTCAAAGCCCTGCTTTTTCCTCAAGTCAAAATATTTTAATGGTAAAATTGTGATTGATGATTAATCTAAATATTTTTCCATTTATAGAGCTGACAAGCAGCAGGAAACTAATATTTAAAGGTAATTTCAGAAACATGAGGATGAAAAAGGTGGTAAAAGGAAGAGGCTGAACTTTTTTTCCTTCCACCTCCAAGATTTATTGAAAAAGGTGTTTAAAAAAAATCAGAAAATGAATCTGAGTCTACATATAAATGCTAATGTATTTATTTATTCCAGATTATTTACTGGATACCAGCTCTGACACATTCAGTATATAAGGGTTGTGATGGGAACAAAGAAACTATTCCTTTCTCCAGGAAGCTCATGGTTGAACAGGGAAGAGAAGAGTTGTAAAAACAGCCCCGGCTGGTGTGGCTCAGTGGATTGCATGTCAGCCTGCAAGCCTAAAGGGTTGCTGGTTCGGTTCCCAGTCAGGGCACACGCCTGGGTTGCGGCATGTGAGAGGCAACCACATATTAATGTTTCTCTCCCTCTGTTTCTCCTTCCCTTCCCCCCTTTCTAAAAAAGATAGTTATCTGTCTAGACAGATCACAAATCTCTCTGGATGCTCTTGCCACACGTCGGATCAGAATGGGATTGGCCTGGGGGTCAGGGAAACCACAGAGCCTATCAGACTTCATCTTAACACTTTGATAACCCAATGGCAAGTTAAAAATGGTTTCCTGTTCTTTCGGGGGCTGCGAGCATAATCACAACTCTTCGGGAGTGTAAAGGACAGATTTGAAGCCTCTGGAACACCTGCCGTTGATGCCAACTGGGCAGAGGTCATAGGGAAGTTGGCTTCCTTGGTTTACTTGGGTTTCTTGTTGATCTTAATTTTTTCAAGTTCTTTTCTTCTAAGCGAGTGTTTATTTGCATGTCATTTGTTCCTGCAGCCACAGATGCTCGCTGCGAGGGGAGGATCTGAACAGACAGTGGCTCGCTCCCAGCGCTCAGCTCCAGCCCACCATTTACCACGCCAAAGGCCTGCTCTACTACTTGAACAGCATCGGCCGCCGTCCTGTGGTGAGTCACTTCCTTCTGCCTCCATGTCCTTGGCTGGTTCCTTCCACCTTTGTTAAAGCAAGAAAACCAAACATAAGCCAAAGACCTGTGTGTGCCCAGCTCTCAAGGAGGTTGCAGTCATATCCTACGGCTGCCATAAAATGGCACCACAAACCAGGGGTCTTAAAAGAACAGAAACGTTCTCTCACATTTCTGAAGTCTAGAAAGCTGAAAATAAGGTGTCAGCAGGCCATGATCTCCCTGCAGGCTCCAGGAAAGAATGCTTTACTGCCTCTTCCCCTGTACGTGTCTGTGTATAAATGTTCCTCTTTTCACAAGGACAGACGTCATTGGGTTAGTGCCCACTCTAATTTGGTAAGGTCCCATCTTGATTTGATTACATGCACAAAGGCCCTATTTCCAAATAAGGTCGCTTTCACAGGCACTGGGTGTGAGAGCTTCAGCAGCATTGTGAGGAGGAGGGACACAATTTAACCCACAGGAAAGGCAACCCATTGGATCAAGTCTGATCAGTGAGGCTTCCGGTCAAGGGGGTAGGGTAGGTAAATGCTGTCCTCACCTCCTCCCACGACCACATCAGAATTACAACTCAACCACAGAACAACCGTCGTGGAGAACCTCCTGAAGGCCAGCTGAACGGAAGTCTTATAACTAAGAATGTATAGCAGAAGCGACATCGAGACTGGCAGGAGGGGTGGAGACATGGAACAGGCTGGTCTCACACCCACGTGTGTTTGGTTAAAACATCAGGAGGGATGTCTTATTAAATTCTGAAGATGATTCTGGCAATGTCCCAGGCATATTTCATACATTAGTTTTTCTCCCAAGCTTATATAGCAACTGTGCAATGTATGAAGAACAAACTATTTGAAACCAGAGGCTTAGGTTCAAGATAAGAAAGGAGGGAATGGTAGCCAAATGATGGTAGGAAAACCATCATTTATTGACTACAAACTGTGAGCATATCTGCAAAATTGTAGAGGGCCCTACGCCCGAATTTTCAGTGCACATCTAACCAAAGGAACTTAAAGGGGCGTGGCAAAGCTCACCGGTGAGCCAACCCAGTCATCTTTACTATTAACCGTGTTTTCATCCTATGCAATGTGGCAAGTTCAGTGAGTATCTATGGAAACAATGGATCAATATCTAATATAGGATGTTATTTAAATCTCAAAATGATTAAGAGGTCAAGGGATTTTCCCTTGAGTTGGGATTCAGGGCTGACCTGTTTTTCTTTCCTACAACCCTGTCTTTCTTCAGCACTTACTCTCTGATGGGGGATGTGGGGGGTCCCCAAGACTCTCCTCAGGTCCAGAGATTTCCTGGAAGGACTCACAGAACTCACAATAGCGGTTGTGCTCATGATTACCATTTATTACAGTGAAAGGATACAAATTAAAGTTAGCAATGGTGAAAGGCATGCTTGTCTCCAGGCATTTGCTCCCAGCAACTTGGTGGACAGTACTTACCTCTCTGGCAGTGACATGTGATGACGTATAGAGAGGGCCAATCCCAGAAGCCCACTAAGAGCAGCTTTGGTGGCTGGATCTTTATCGGGGATGAGTTTGTACACATTCCATGTGGCTCATCTTAGTTTCTTGGTTCCAGCCCCTTCAGAGTCAAACAGATGCTTTGTGGTCCAAGACCCCCACCAGAAATCACAAGTCAATGTCAACCATCGTTCATGGTCCAAGGCCCCAGCCAGGTAAAGACACTGTCATCCAGCAGAACAGTTTAAGGATGTCAAGGTGCTCTCCCAGGGACCAGTCAGGAACCAGACCTGTCTTTGGAATTCGTAGAGTTTGAACACTTCCAACTTGTCTAGTCAACTGTTCATTGCAAAGAGAGCAAAGCACATCCTTTTGCCTGAAGAATCCTTGTTCTACACTTGGTCAAATTGTGTAGCCCCTCACCCTCCCGTCCAAGGAGGTACTGCAGTCTCTGTGGTCTCCCCTTCAGAAGCGAGTTCATGGCCCGCAGAGCAGAGCACCAACCTTGCAGCCAGGGCCCGGAGAGCTGTGTTCTCTGAGGAGCAAGCCTTAGCCTCTGGGAGGAGACAGAGGTTTGCGGGGAAAGAGGTTGTCACTAGACATGCGTATAAACACATACACGTTCAGCTCATCACAAACAGGATTCTTCTCAGCTCTGACAGCCCCTCATGGAAGAGCAGAACGTTTATTTTAAAGTGTGACGGGTGAAAGTCCTGTGTAAAAATATAAATAAACATTAATTAGCTGTAAACATGACAGCCACAGACTTGTTTCCTGCTGGGGCCATCTGAGAGGTGGGCGAGAAGCAGCGGAGTACTAAATGCCATTCACAGCGTTACAGATTCTCCACTGGGCTCGGCATCACCTCTTCGTTGCTGACGGGCTGTGTTTCATCAGCTGCCTGGTGACAGCAGGACCCTGCCTCTCGTCCCATGCTCAGGCCTGCTCTGTTCCGGGAAGATCTCCGCTCTGCCAGGGTTGACTTTTGGGCTACATGGTTGCAGATGAACTATGACCCTACCTAGCCTCTGACTCTTAGCAAAGTGTCTCCTGAAGCACTGGGAAGCCACTTCTGGTAGCTTGGTGGATCCACGTAGTTGGTACTCAGGCGTTGGTCTACAGGTGGGCAGAATAATATAAACCCCAGGACCAATGAGAATGTGAGAGAGGGTGCCAAAGACCAGGTGATAAGCAATATGACAATATTCATCTATTCTTTTATTCATCCATCCACCCCTCCATCCATCCATTTATCCTCCCGCCTACCCATCTATCCATCCATTCACCTATCCGCTCACCATCTGGATGGGCATCCATCTGTCCGTTCACTTACACCATGTGTGTGTAATCAGTGTGCTGGGTCTCAGGGGTGCAAATCCGATTTTTAATTTTAAAAAGCTTGTCCTTTTCTTCGAGGAGTCCACAGTTTACTTTGGTAAGAAAGCAGGGTTCTGCCTGCAAATAAACCAATGAGTGCAAATGGTAAAAACTGTAACAAAGACTTATATGAGTTGTTGAGTCATTTTCCTTAAAGGTTATGGAAAATCTAGAGACTAGAGGTGCCATTTGAGCTGGACTTGGAGGACCTATAAGAGTTTTGCTTGGCTTTTATTATAGTAAGGCTGAGAATTACACCTTGCTCAGAGGGCCCATAGGTCAGACAGGGAGCTCTTGATCTTCCGCCTTGTGAAACTGGAGTTGTGGCAAGTTTTCTACACTCAGGGTCACTGGATGGGATAAAGGAAAGGAAGCTTTTTGTTAGCTGGTGGGAGAGATTCATCTGACATCACAGTGACCTCATGGTCCCTTTCCCATTCTCTTGAACCCCAATTTTCTGTCTCTCCTGTTTGTTAGAGGCTCAGGAAAGCTGCTCCAGGTGTTGGATCCAAAAGCTCAGAAACATAGTCAATATTGATGTGTTTGTACACTGGAATACTAGTGAACAATAAAAAATAAAATGACACCCTCAACAGGAAAGTGCTGATGTACCCAACAGCGTGGATGAGTTTCAGAAACATACTGAGTGAAATGTGCTCGTTGCTAAAGAGGACAAACTCCACCTGTAAAGTTCAAGATCAGGAAATCTGTGAAGATAGAAATTCAAAACAGGGTTCGCCTCTGGAAGAGATTGAATAATTGGGGCCTGGAGGGAACTTTCCAGGTCAGTGGAAATGCTGTTCTACATTTTGATTAAAGAGTCAGTTACACCAAAACTCATTGATCTGTGCATGCAAGATCTGTGCATTTCACCAAAGGTGCACACCTACCTAAATACAGAAAATTAAGGATCAATAAATTAAAGCAAAGTCCCTGAGCTTTAAAATACAACTCGGAGACAAAGGGGGCTGCCCCTCATGAGGCAGACCTTGTAGAGACATGCAGTTCCAGCCAACGAAGACATCTTTTGCAGGACAGAATAGAAAGGCTGCCAAATAATATCTATTTGGATCCAGCCAGAGAAGAGGCATGCAAGGAGAGAAGCCCAGAGAAGCAGACAGCTCAGCAGTTAGCCAGTAGGAGGCATCGAATAAGTTGCACTTGGTGCAGCTCACCCCGCGGGCCAGGAGGCAGGCACCTGGAGCCCGGTTGCGCACAGCCTGGGAGACCGGAAGAAAGCTCTGAGGTTCTTGGGAAGCTAAGCCAACAGCTTCTTCGGAGCTGCCGTGTTGCCGCTGACCTTGGCCTCTGTGCCACTGGAAAGCATGTGGGCTTCAGAACTAGGGGAGGTGTGGATCCCCATCCTCTCATTCCTCAGCCTGTGAACACATGCCAGGAAGGGAATCGGCGCTCTGTGGAGAGCTCATCGAGTTCCATTTACCAGTCACTCGAGCTGGGCTGCCTTCCGCCAATGCATGGGACGGGCATGTTTTGGTTTTGTCTTTCTCTGGGGCCAAATGGAACAGAATTTTTAGCTACTGAAATGATTTTCCTGGTCTTATTCTGTCCCTCTGGCAAAAGGTTTTAGTTAATCAGCTTCTTTTAAAAGAGGTACAAATGGAGGGGGTAGAGGGATGACAAGTCCCCTCCTAAAACCTTATCTCCAAGGGCCTGAAGGTATTCGTGCGCAGTATTCATTTTATCTGCACCTTCTCTCTCTTTTTTTTAGTCTTCACCCAAGGACATGTTCATAGATTTTAGGGGGTGGGGGGAGAGAGAGAGAGAGGTCAATGTGAGAGAAATACATCGATCCGTTGCCTCCAGTGTACTCCCTGACTGGGTGTTGAACCTGCAACCTAGGCATGTGCCCTGACAGGGAATCGAACCCACAACCTTTTGGTGTATGGGACAGTGCTCCAACCACCTGAGCCACCCAGCCAGGGCTACATGGGCACTTTTAATGTAATTGAAATATTTGGGGAGGAAGGACATCATAATACATAACACCAGGATGGCAGAAAACCTGTGGTATTTCCTAACATAATCGAGGCTCCCACTATGGCTAGTCATGCACTCCACTGAGTTTAATGTGAAAATTTTCACTCCAAGTAGCCATTGGAAGGTGTCAAAATT